CGATAGGACTATAGACTGATTTAGTGGGCATTCTGGTCCTCCCTAAAGCCTGGCAAATAACATTGGCTAGAAACTTTTAATACGTTGGCGTGTCATAGTGCAGTACAATACTGAATAACAAACACTCCCTAAACGTAATATTCGGTTATTATGTCAACATGTACCTTAGGGCAAAGATCAAGAATTACACGTTATCATTTATTATTCACCGTTTCCAGGAATCAAATGCATTTATTAGACAAAATGATTTCCTAAAGTACTAACGACCTGTTTGATTTGGGTAATGTTATACTATATTACTTGATTATTATATTTGATTATTAAGTAATATAAGATGTTAGTAATCTTTTAAGACTAATAAAAATTATTGTTGATAATATAGGAGGTAATCTAATTATCTCCAGTTTCTTTGGGTGCATTTGTTTTAGTATTTTGGATAGTATTTTGATATTTTTAGAGTTGGGTAGAAATAACGAGGTAAGATTTAAAAATTAACAAAAACATCCCATAGGTTTGTTAATTTATTAAACACCTCTATAATAAAAATATTAAAAATTATAAAAACACCCCCACCCATCCATTAAATACTAGCAGTCGACCACCACCTTCGGAAGGTAGTCGGAGTCGCAGTATCGGCGCATGACTGGCTGGATCTGGCCGGTCGTGCACTGAGATGGCCTTTTCCAGCCAGATCCACCATGGATCTGGCCGAAAAAGGCAAGACCTACGAACGGCCAGATCTGGCCATGTTTGGTGGTCAACGACGATCATATCTTAGCCATCGTTGATGACCAGCTACGGCCAAAGATCTGGCTTATTTAGCCTTTTCCGGCCAGATCCACGATGGATCTGTCCCAAAAATGATAGATCGGCGCACTACCAGCCAAATCCAACCGGTAGTGTACCATTATACCAGATTTCGGTTAAGTTTCGACGGTGGTGGTCGGAATCTGGCAAATTTAGGTGGGTGGGGGTGTTTTTGTCAATTTCTAAACTTTTTTTTTGGGGAAGTGTTTAGTTAAATCAATAAACTTAAGTGGTTTAAAAATAGTTGAATAAAATATAATAGTATTTTCAGAATAGGGAAACAAACTAGTATTTTAGAAAAAGTATGAATAGGATAGTGAAAAATATTAAACCAAATAGACTTAGTTATTTTAAGATTACTTGGTAATCTTATTTTTGTTACAATTTTACCCTTTATTAATAAAATTTATGAACAATAATGCCCTTATTTTGAAATTAATTTACATGAATCTTCCATTATAATTTTACCCTTATTTAATTAAGTTTTTAGACAATAATACTCTTATATTTAAAACAAATTACAGGCCATCTAGGACCACCATTGGCAGTTGGCCAACCATCATCGGTTGCCGCCCACCACCATTGGAAGTCACCGAAAATGGCCTCCTTGCGTCGATATGGCCGTAGATTTGGTCGTGGATGTCGGAATAGATTTGGTCGTTAACGACCAGATCCATGGCGCAAAACGACCACAGATCTGGCCGTTAATGACCATTGATATGACCAGAAATGGTCAGAATAGATCTAACTATTAATGGCTAGATCCACGGCTATCTAGTCATTTTCGACCATTGATATGGTTGGTAACATCCATATCGGTGCACGACTAGCCAGATATAGCCGATCGTACGCCATTTCGACGATTGCCAATGGCAATTGACAGTGGCTTGGGGTGGGTGGGGGTGATTTTGTTATAAATCAAAGTTTATATAAGCTTGGGCGTTTTAACAAAATTTCAAATGTAAAAGGTTAATTAAAATGGTTCAAAAAATAATAATAAAAATAATATTATATTAATATTTAAAAATGAAGACAATTTAGTAATCTACATAGCATACTATCAGTTTATTCCAATCTAATCAAACACATTTTCTTAAACATTCCTAGTAATCTTCAAGGTAATCTATCTTTCTATTAATTTAACATTCCCAATAATACAACATTACATGAACCAACCACACTCTAAGTAATAAACGTTATGATTGAAATATTGGCCGAATGACATTGTTACCCCCCATATCATAAGTAAATAATCCCCATAGTTTCATAAACATACAACACAACCCCCATTTTATAGATTAAGGCGTTAAATTTAGCAAGAGTAGGGCATTAATGTAATTTCCCAGACACATAAATACTTATACAAATAAAACAACCTAAAAGTTAATCAAATTTGAAACCACAACATTAATAAAAAAAAAAAAAATAAAGTTTGAAATAACGCATGAACAAGCGACCAGTCAAGCACGATCTAGGTGTTCAAATCAGAAAAAAGAGTAGGAAGATGAAAATAGAATAGCAAAGACGCAATCCAGGTGGCCATCATGGACTGGGTCTTGAGCGTGAGCGATTGGCCACCAGATAGCGGCCACCACCACCAGAGCCATTTTTGTTAAATAAAATATGTATTTTTTTGTTCTTGTTCAGTTGAATTTTTTTTTGTTCGCAATCTAAGAAAGGTTTGTAACGGTAAAACTAATATTTTGGTGTCAATTCAAAATTTAAGGAACAGTTTTTTTTTTTTTTTTTGTGGGATTGAAAATGTTAGCCAGCCTTGAAATAATTTAATAATGATACAGTAAGGATGACGTCAGTGGGCCATTCAATTGTAATAAAAATAAATAAATTATTTAGCAGCCACAAATTCACTTGTGTTATCTTGAACAATACTGGTTTTCATCATTAGGGTTCCACATATATTGTCCTTATCTCCAATACTACGTGATACGAATAATTTAACCCAGTTAGGTGAGACTTCTCAATAAAAAGTCTATATTACCCCTATTTTCTTATTTATATGATAATAGAAATTAAGAAAAATATACATATATAATAAAAAAGAATGTGCTAAAAATGATCCGTATTATATTTGGATATCAACTATTACAATACTACTCTCATGAAAAATTGATTATTTTCTTTTAGGCAAACAGTATATATATATATATATTATTCATTTCTAATAACATGTGTATAAGATAACATGGGTGTTATAGACTTTTCATTGAATAGTCTCATTTAACTAGACTAAACTTTAGACTTTTTATTTAATAGTCTCAACTAATTAGACTGAACTGTTAGTATCTTATAATACCGGACGTAAATGTAATATATTCCAAACCTTAAGGATGAAAGGGTAAATAACCCAACAAAACTATACATATTTATTAAATGGTTCCAAAGTTCCCATCGAATCCAGCAAAAAAGAGAAGGTCTATTATCCCACACCTCCTATGAGGTTTTAGCTTGAGTCAATCTCATCCGATACCCCACTTTTATTGTTAGTAATATCCAATTTTAAAATTAAAAGTCTATTTTCCCTCTACCCATCACTTGCCAACTTGACAAATATCTTAAATCCTTCATTCAATAAATATTGAAATCCACAAAATCAAAATCAAACTTAAACTCATAATTTTTCATTCCGAAGCAAGTTTACACATTTATATTACAAATCTAAACAAACCAATAACTGAATATTGATTTATGATCAACTATAGAAATAATTATATTTTCATTAGAACATTAAAAAGTTGATAAGTTATTAAACTAGCCTTTTAAAAAGAGGAAATAACTAGATACAGTAGTTCGGAATTTTATTGTAATAAAATGTTTTGAGATTTATAAATAAAGGATAGATCATTTATAATCAACCTTAAAGTAAATTTAATTAAGACAAAATCAAAATAACAGTATTGTGGTAAAATTAAGTGTTTTAGTTACAACAAATTAAAATAAATTATTTTTAAATGATTTATAAATATTATGAGGAATATTTTTTTCTCTTAAGTTGGTAAGTCAAGAAAGGGATAAAACTAAGTTTTTTTTTTTAAATAGGGAAAAAGACATTATTTGAATAGATAACACTATTAGTATCCTTTTAGTTCTTGGTTTAACAATTAGCATCCTTTCATTATTGTCACTAAACCCCAAAATTAATGGTAACTTAAAGCTGTTTTTAAACAAAATTTTCCACATCTCTGCAAATTTAGTGTCACTAATTGTACCCCGACTTGTAATAATATTTTGATTCCTTATACTAATTGTATTTATATTTGATATATTTTCGCACAAAAATCCAAACTCAAACTCGTAAAGAAACTTATGAAAGAAACGAGATAATATTATCAACATCTTCTAATAAAATATATTTTTATATAAAATACTTGATAGCTTTTTCTAAAACACATTTACTAAATTAATTCTTTACTAGCTAGAATCAAGGTTTTTGTACCCGGATCGGGCCTTGATCCATTTACTAAAAACATCCACACTCTTCTGACGTTAGCATGACATGAAATCGAATGGAATCACGCTTTTCTCCAATGGTGCTATCCTTCCCTTTCGTTTCAAATTGGTTTCATTTGAAATTGAATAGAATTAGGGATTTCATTTGCATTTTAGTGGACTGGTTTAACCACTGGTTCTCTGGCCCAGCGATTGAATTGCAGTTTGACACTGTTTTCATCGAGTCAATCCAATTCAATGACTAAAATGAGTTTTAGCAATTCAGTAGACCAAATTAGGGTCGGTTCTTGATCCGACTAATTGGTTTTGTTCAGGTTTTAAAACAGTGGCTAGAATATACTTAACGTAATTGTTTAACTCAAAAAATTTAATAATAATAATCATAAAAAAAAGGAATTTTTATTACAAATCTATGTATTTATGTTTAAGTATGTGAAGATTTACAAGAAAAATCCAATATTGCATTAAAAAAATATATGCTAGAATTAATTCTGGCTGTATCACTCTTAATTGCGGTATTTGGAAGTTGTAAGTTCGCTGTCAGGTTGGTCACGTTTTAGCCCACTTAATTTAATTTTTTCATCACGTTTTCATCACACTTCACAACATTATAATTAATGTGCACAGAGGCCCGTGCTTACTGCCCAACAAACTTATATTAAATGCCATTAGCATTATATACATGGGAATTATTGTGTCTCCATTTTCACTTGCAAATAGAGCTCTTCCCGTTCTTATACTCTCAACATCAGCTCTTCTTTCTCCGAAGCCATGAACTCACTGCTACTAAATTCTTTCCCAGTTCAAGCACAGTATAAAATGAAGAAAACTGTGGATTCTAATGGAAATTGCAGGGTTGACACTTGTAAGAATGGCATTGGCATTCTTGAGTTTCTTCCGGGGAAGAACTATTTCGTTACTGGTGCCACTGGTTTCCTAGGCAAAGGTAAACCCAATGCTCTATGGTAATATACATTTTGAACAAAACTCTTGCATGGCATAGTATTGTAGCTCATGTGCTTAATTTAAATACAATAAATAATCTACACGATATCTTTTTAATTGTAAATATATATAAGCTTTTCATGAAAACATTAAATAAGCCATGTAATTCATTTATTTAAAAAAATTATTAGTCTGTGTCATTTATCCGTCATCAAAATCTGGTGACCGAAAAGTTTGTCAGCATGTTTTGGTAGTGATGTTTGTGTTAAAATGATTGTCACTAAACAATCTATATGAGCGTGTATATATATATATATACACGCAATCTATGTCAAATTTGACTGTGATTTGAACTTTCTTCATTAGATCCAGTTACATCTCCCTTTTATTTCCATTTAATGGTGCGTTTGGTTGGGGGTATTTGGTAATTTGACATTATTCAGTAATGTTATTCTATATTATTTACATTACCATGTTTAGTTGTCAAATAATATAATATTTTGATAATCTTCCAATATCAATAGTAATCATTGTTGGTTATATATGTAGTAATCTGATTAACAAATTTTTTTTAGATATCTTAAGATTATTTAGTGATCTTTTTTTTTATTACAATTTTACTCTTTATCAATAAATTTTTATGATAGTAATGTCCTTGTTATCTAAACAATTTACAAGAACTTTTATAGACAATTTTAACCTTATATACAAGATTTTTAAGACATTATTGTCCTTGTACTTCAACCAAATTACCCTCCGAATCTTTCAAAAAGTTTATTTTGCTATATTATTTTCATGCATCAATATAATAAAGAGCTTTTTCTGTAGTGAATTTTTGTAAAATTGAGGAGTAAATTTGATATATGCTTCTATGTTTGTTTAAAATTTGCAGCACTAATTGAGAAGCTACTACGAGCAGCACCCGACGTTTGTAAGATCTATCTCTTAATCAAGGCAGAAAACAAAGAAGCTGCATTAGAAAGAATAAAAACTGAAGTATATCTGCATATATATAACACAAAACTCTTTCTAAATATATAAATATATCTATGTTTCCATTGTTTCGACTAACAAATTTACTAAAGTTTTATTTTTATTTTTTCTTGTTAATAAGATAATAGATTCAAATCTATTCGACATTTTGAGAGATATGCATGGGGAATCTTACACAGATTTAATGTTAAGTAAGCTGGTTCCCGTTCCTGGAAATATTGGTGAATCAAATCTTGGTATGAATACTGATTTAATAATCGAAATAGCACAAGAGCTAGATGTAATTATAAATTCAGCAGCCAATACAACATTTGATGAGAGGTTTCTCCTCATCACTCATATTAATTTTTATGATATCCAAGTTCATTTTTCATATACTGAAACTTGGATGTACTCAACTTAGATTTGATGTAGCTGTAAACATAAACACAAGAGGACCATCTCGAATACTCAATTTTGCAAAGCGGTGCAAGAAACTTTGTTGTTTCATACATGTATCAACTGGTAAGTAAATTTAATTATGAGTAGAAAATCATGAAGAAATTTATTTATTTAGGCTAATCTATATATACTTAAATCAAATTTTCTTCTTCTTTAGCATATGTTAATATAGAAAACGTCGGAGAGACTCTCACCTCCAAAAGCTCACCATTATTACACCCTCCTGTCAATGTCGATGCTGAAGTGAAGTTAGCTTTTGATTCAAGTCTTTCTTTTCATGGAGGTGCAGAAATAGTTCGGAAAATGAAAGAAATGGGTTTAGAAAGGTGATTACTTTAGTTAATTTATATTTTAACCTTTCTTTATATTATTTTAATCAATGTATTGTGAATATGCTATAAAACTACATGTATTATGTATATATGCACTTATAATAATCTCATAAATTTAGAATGAAAGCATTTGATAATGATCAGAACCAATCAAATCATTAGTGAGATTTTTTTTTTCTTTTAATTATAAGTTCTTTTTCTCATTTCTCCTTAAAACATTTGTAATTAAAATGATATTGAAAAACACAACCTTGTTAGTTATAATACACATTAATTAATATGTAGACATATTGTTTCGGGTTTCATTTTCTTAGTAATTAATCGATGGAAAAATTTCTATCCCGCAGGGCAAGAAGTTATGGGTGGAAAAACTTTTATGAATTCACCAAGGCAATGGGAGAAATAGTAATTTATAAGAATAGAGGAGAAATCCCAGTTGCTATTATTCGTCCAAGCGTAATTGAAAGCAGTTTTAAAGAGCCTTCTCCTGGATGGATACAAGGGATCAGGTAACCCTTTTAAAATTTTATTTTATTTATATTTAGTAGTTTATATTTGACCACTTCAGAATTCAAGTTTTTTTATATCCTTGCTATGATGTGTATTACTAATAATTTCTCTTGAATATGATCATTAGAATGGTTGACCCATTCATTTTTGCTTACGGCAAAGGCTACCTCCCCGCCTTCTTAAACCCTGAGACTGTTGTAGATATAGTAAGTATACAAATTCTTTTGGTTATATTCTACTCCATTTTATCAATAATTTTTTTTATTTTTTTATTTTTTGCCTTTTTCCGAAATGCTTGACAAGAATTAGAATCGATCAAAATCTTTAGCATTTTAATAGTTACTTACTTTTGGTTTACAATCCAATAATCATATAAAAAAAAGTTGATTTACTTCTTCAACAAACTCAAACTTTATTTTTTTTTTTTTTGGTAAATTTTTATCTCAGTAATAGTCTTCCCTTAGGAACATACACGTTGAGATAGCCCTACAAATAAATATTTATTGTACTTATGAAATGAATTAATCATACAGATTCCAGTTGATATGGTTGTGAATGCAATTATTTCTGCAATGGCAAAGCATGGAATTACCAGGAAACCAGAGCTTAACGTCTACCACGTTACATCTTCTAGGGTAAATCCAGTGACGATGACATTCCTATTTGATGTGTGCTATGAACATTTCAAGTCCTCTCCAATCAAAGACTTGAAGGGTAAAGAAGTTGAGGTTAAAAGAGTCAAATTTCTTAGCTCATTGGAAGACATCTTCTCACATATATCAGGAGCTATTATTCCAAAAAATGGGGTTGTTTCTCAAGAACTCGAAAGAAAATTTTGCGAGAAGAAAATAAAGCAAACGAAATATATGATACAGATGTATGAGCCATATTTATCTTCACGGTGGTAAGAGTTTTTTTTTTTCCCTGATCATACATGGTTAGGTAGTGTTAAGATCTTTTAAATTAAATTACTTCAAAAGTTGAACCATGTTATTTGATTTATAGTATAAATATAAATCATTGGCCAAGGAGTTCACTCCGGTACAGTAGTTGGTAAACTTGAAGGGGAAAGAGACATCACTTTGGGCTCTGTTGATTTACTATGTGATGATTTTATTGCCTGGCGATATGAAGACTATTAACTTACAAATAATGAAATTAAGCTTTATAGTTAATTGGCTAAATATTTTCTTGAAAATTTGTATATTTAGGTTTGAAAGCAGCGATACCTACAAATTGTGGGAAGCTATGTCTTTAGAAGAGAAGTTGAGTTTTGGATTCGACGTGAAGAGCTTGGATTGGAAGGACTATTTTTCCAATATTCATATTCCAGGTCTGAGGAAATATGCAATGGAAAGTAAATTGAGGCCAAAATTATAATATTTATATTAAAATGGGTCGAAGACAGCTTGTGCAACGTGGAAACTAAATAATTTATGCCAAAGTTATTGTAAAAAGTCTTGTATTTTATATAAAGTCAGTTCAATATTCTCGTAGAAGCTATTTTCAACTCTTAATTGCTTGACTCTCAAGGGTATTCTATAATTTTCAACCTTTTCTATCGAATTTCGGGTTAAAAAATATTTTTAACCTTGCAAAATCATATGATCGATGTCCTTAATAGGAAAGAATGTTCACTCCAAAACATGACAAGGAAGGAATGATTAAATGTAGACTCTGATGACAAAATATTTCACCTTTGTTATGATTATTATACATACTTTGCTCCCTTTTTAATGCCATATTTTGGCTTGTATTGCTATAATCTGTATAAATCTAAAGTTGTTTTAATTTTACTTATTAGATGGTGTGATAGGATAGACATCTCATCTGCATGCTTTAAAGAAGTTTATTAATCTGAAAGAGTAATGATTTTTATTAACTGAACTTACAATGTACAGAAAGCAATGTTGCTTTATATAGAAGCTGAACTTAGCAGCTTAACAACTAGTAACAGACTAATTAACAACTAACAGAAAGCTGACGTGGACTTAACAGAAGATAACGTAAATTCTTTCCCAAGTTCAAGCACAATCCAGAGTTGACCCGAGTAAAAATGGCATCTTGAGTTTCTTCCGAGGAAGAACTATTTCGTTACCGGTGCCACTGGTTTCATTACTGATTATTATAGGCAATAACTCACCGTAAAATTATATATATATATATATATATATATATGCTGAATAAACTCTTGCATGGCACTTTTGTGCAAAAAATAAAAATCCAACTTGAGCTCGGGGAAGCACAGGGGTCCTAGCTCGGATGCCGCACTAAACGAACCGAGCAAAATACTCACCCAAGGCAAGTGACAGCATGCAGACAGGTGTCAACAAACCGCAACACTCATTGCAACACCTAAGGAGTCTATCAAGCTGTGAGCACCATGTGCAATACATGCAGCTACTTCGTTTAACTAGTGACTACTCTCCGACAAACTATAGTTAATCACAATTGCAACTAGGATTAAATGCAATAATGCCCTGACGACCTCGACTGTCCAACACCTGTTAGGGTCGACAGTAATCATCTTGCTAACGTAGTCCCCACTCACAACTACCATTGCAAACTCTTATAAATACCATGATCAAAACCCTTAAAGAGAAGGAGGCAAATAGAGAATATAAATACTTACCCAAAATAAAAATAGAGAATAGAAAGAGAGTACATTGCATATCAACTGTAATCACGAATCTCAATAAAAAGAAATAGTGGACGTAGGCTCGATTCTTTGGCCGAACCACTTTAAAAAGCTTGCTTCTCCAATTATTATTTCTCTGTCTTCATCATCTTTGACTCCGACATTGTCCAACCCATACATGCCCATCTTTTATGGTTCCCAGGAATCACACACCCATCCTGCTCGGTTCCTCTTATGGTCAACCGAGCATCTCTAGTTGATGCATGTTCGAGTCTCGATGTTTTGGTGGTACGAGAATTCGCATCAGCATTTTGGTACTTAAAGGAGGGCTAGGGCTAAAACCTTCCAATTTAAGCCCATTCCGATTTAAGACGTGCCACTAGATTAACCACAACTTTCTGATAGAAATGGCATGACGGAAAAGAACCAACCAGAGTCAAATTGGCGTTAATCAGATTGACGCCTTTGAGACGGATATGCTTGACACAGGAAATCCTTAGATTGTCGAAATCTTCCAAAAAATCACTCACGCCAATGAAAATCTCCAACGGAAGGTGATGGATATGAGGGAGGGACAATTTTCAAAAAGTCCTTCAAACCTACGAAGCATCAAAATACCAACTCCTAGTTGGGAGCGCATAATTGCTGAAGAATATTTCGATGTAGCAATAGAAGCACAACAAGAATGACGTCCTGGAAAACAGTCAATGATGGAGGAGGCAACCCGTCGGGAACCCGACAATTCTCACTCGAGGATCGGTCCGACCCAACGCGAGGGGATAGTCATGTGAGCACGCTCATAGTTGATGCAGTCAAATTACATCCCACGCCACCACGACGTCCAGGATCAGCTCACTAGCTTAAGCCCACACCACAATAGGTCGCGGGAGTCTACCTCTGACAGTCCCTACTACATAAGGAGCTATGATTCCTCCTTGCACGCAAGAATGCCCAATGAGGAAAACCAACAAAATCCTGACTCGAATCTTAATAGATACCTTAACGCACAAAAACCCAATCTCTGCCATTCGCTTGCTCAAAATAAAGGGATCACAATACCCCTAGTTGATCCTCTAGTTACTTCTAGTTGGAGGACATGCAAAAGATGCTTGACAACTTGCAAATTTGACAAGTCCAATAGGCAATGATTGCCTCTGGCTCTTCGTTTCTAGAAGAGATGCAGCTAGACCTCTACCTCTCGACTTCAAGACCCCCGACATCAACTTTAGTGGGGAAGGTGACCCTGAAGACCACCTTGACGCCTTCAACGATCTAATAGAGCTATATCAGGTACCTGACCTTACTAATTGCCAATGTTATGCGGTCACTCTGATGGGCGACACAAAAAGAAGGTATAAGCGACTCTTTGCAAACTCCATTCATTCCGAGCACCAGTTTGCGTAGCTTTACCTACAAAAATCCCAAGCTCAATGACGTTTCGCTATGCCAATCATCTACCTTAGCAACATCCACCAAAAGCAAGGCGTTAGCCTAACCTCTTATTTGAAGAGATTCCAAATAGAGCAAGCAAGGTGGTTGACATGCTTGAAGAGGCGATTGAGATGCTCATGATCACCAGCATAAGATCACAGATTGGGTTATGGAAGGACCTTCAGAAGGAGGACCATATATCCCTCCCCCAATTTTACCAGATGGTCGAAAGGTATCAATGCCATAAAGAACTTGCCTGTTGCGCTCCGTGGCATGGCTTCTACTAGTGCCCCCATTGGCTGCCTGACCAAGCAGGAAACCACAAAAGGGATGCTCGTGACCTAGGAAACTGAGACAAACATTGGCTTGTGTGTATCCTTGTGCAACAAGTTTGGCCTTGTTTTTGACAATATTCTCAAACTCATTAGACTTGTTTTTGAAGATCCACTTGGTTCCTATAACATTTATACCTTTAGGCCGAGGAACCAAGCTCCAAACATCATTTCTCTCTAACTGTTCAAGCTCCTTATGCATGAGAGCAATCCAGCAATCATCCTCCAAAGCTTGTTTTGCATTCTTTTGTTCTATAAGAGAAACATAACACAAGTGATTAATTTTATTCAACCTTTTTATTCTAGTTACCATTACCTCTTCAGGATTTCCCATCATAATGGATGGTGGATGTGCTTTTTTGATCCAAGAGGATGGTTCTTCTCTTGTAGGAGTCTTTCTTAGAGTGAACTCATCATAAAGATCAATAATTAATTTAAGTCTATCACTACTAGAACCTGATGCTTGTCCTTGTTGATCTCCCATTGTGTTCAAATCATATACGGGTGTTGCCACACTGGTTTAAGCTTCTAGAGAGTCCGATGTGGTCATATCATCTTTGCTTGTAGGCACATCATGAGGAACAGTCATGTCTACAGTTTCATCAACTTGAGAAAACTCTGAGTAATCTTCAGAATTAGAGAATACAACATTAAATGATTCAACAATTTGTTCAATTCTCATATTGAAAATCATATATGACCTATTGTTTGATAATCAGTAACCAAGGAAAACACCTTCATCACTCTTAGCATCAAGTTTCCCTAAGTCTTTTCTATCATTTAAGACATAGCACTTGCAACAAAGAACATGGAAATATGAAAGATTCGGCTTCTTACCATTCTACAACTCATAAGGAGTTTGTGATGTACCTTTCCTTAAGAATAATTTGTTGGAAATCTGGCATACAGTGTTTTATTGCCTCGGCCCATAGTATTGTTGGCAACTTCTTTGCATTCAACATTACCCTTGCCATCTCTTGAAAAACTCTTTCTTTCTCTCCACTATACCATTCTATTGAGGTGTCTTAGGGGCAGAAAACTCATGCTAGATACCCTGCATTTCACAAAAGTTAGAAAAGTTAGAATTCTCAAACTCTCTCCCATGATCACTCCTTATTCTCACCACTTCCTTTACACGACAATTTTTTTCCTCTTGCAACCTTTTGACAAGACTTTGAAAAGCTTCAAATGCATCAGACTTCTCTTTTAAAAAATCAACCCATGTAAATCTAGAATAGTCATCAACATATAAATAAACATATCTCTTACCTCCTGAACTTTTAGTTTGCATAAAACCCATTAGATTCATATGGAGCAGTTTTAAAACATTGTTGGCATGAGCCACACACTTTTGGCATGACCCATTAGATTCATTTGCTTACCCTGTTGGCATGAGCCACACACTTTACCTTTGGGAAACATAAGTTTGGGTAGACCTTTGACATCATCCTTCTTGGAAAGTTTCACAAGATCTTTGAAGTTCATATGCCCAAGCTTCTTGTGCCATGGATCCACACAATCTGTCTTAGTGTCAAACAAGAAACTTTGTTAGACAACAAATAAAAATTATCATTAGACCTCTTTCCTTCAAGCAACGAAGTACCATCACCATTCAAGACTTGATAAATATTTTTTGAAATTGTATAATACAATCCTTGTCACAAATTTGACTAATGCTAATTAGATTTGCTTTAAGTCCCTCAATATGAAACACGTCATTCAACATTGGGAAGCTAAGAATGACTACTGAGTATTTTCTAAGAATGTTACCTCTTTTGCCATCACTATAGGTAACATGGCCGACTTCCACAAGTTCAAGATTAGTCAATAATGCTTTGTTACCTGTCATGTGTCTCGAACAACTACTATCAAAGTACCATTGGTCATCTTGAAATACAAGCAATGATGTATGAGTAACAAGGCAGTTAGCACTTAACTTGGGTCTTCACACTTTTCTGTTTTTAAAAACATCTTTTGGTGTGGTGACATAAAAGATCAATGTGGTGACAGTTGAGAAAGAAAATCATGATTTCCAAGACATTTTTTCAAGTAGGAAATGAATTTAAAGCATTTAGGTATGATGTGACATTTCTTTTGACAAAAATGACAGACTAGAGTGAACCTTTTTCATTCAAGGATTCATCACAAGGGGCAGCAATAACTTT